TCCGCACCCGGCCGACCGCCGGCTCCGCTAGGGCTCCAGCTCGGCCGCGCTCTCGCTGCCGGCGGCCTCGGGCCGGGGCCGCGGCCACAGCTGCTCCTGCAGCTCCTTCACCACCTTCTCCAGGTGCTCCCGGGCCTCGCGCTCCCGAAGCAGGTCGGCCCGCAGCTGCTCGCGGTCCGCCTCCGCGTGCTGGAGCTTCACCTGCAGGTCCTCGATCTGGAAGGGACGGGACGCCGGCGTCAGCACCCGCCCCCCACCCGGCCGCGCCAGCCGCCCTCCTTCCCCTGCGTGGGACGCGTGCCGCTGAGCGAGGGAGGCGGCAGCCGAGGCCCGGCCCGGGAGGGCCTCTCCGGGGGCACCGTGACCCGAGTCCACACGGGTGTGCCGAGCCGCTGGCGGGTGGGAACTACCAGCCCCCGCCCCCCCCTCCCCCAGCAGCTGCCTCAGGGCGCCCTCGACATCCTGAGGCCAATTTCCCTCCAAAGCCCAGACCAGACCCTCCCAGCACCGGTGAGGCAAGGGGAGGAGGGGCTGCCATGCCCACCGCCCCGCACCCGATCCCAGGCCGGGCAGGACGGCCCATCCGGAAGTGCTGAGGCGTTTAAAGCTGTGTGGGGTGAGACTGGGGCTGCCTGGGGCTCCTCTGCACCGCCGGGGGGACGGCTCAGAGCCGGCTTCTCAAGGGAAACCACCAAAGAGGGGCGTGGTCGGGAGGGAAGAGGGCATAGAGCGCCCACGTGTGCAGCCAGAGGACTCCTCCCTGCGGGGGACCGACTCCCAAAGCCCAGGAGAGCGTGCAGCGCCCCAGTCGGCCTGCCGGTCCCCCGTGGTCCCCGAAGCTTGTGGTGGACCCCTCGAGGTGAGAAAGGACCCCAAGATGCCAGCACAGCGCCTGCCACGCGGCCTCGCCGACGGTCCGGCCCCGGGCCCCGCAAGGCCGTCTCCCCATCTGTCACCCAGGCACCGGCTGATGCCTCCGAGCCCCTGCCACAGCCCCCGCCTGTACCTGGGCCGAGTACTTGGCGCGCAGGCGGCCGGCCTCGCAGCCCTTGTCACACACCCGCACCTGCCGCGCCTGCTCCAGCTCCCGCTTCAGGCGCAGCCGGGACTCGTTGGCCTCGCGCATCTTCTTCTCGTTCTCTGCCCGGAGGCGCTCGATCTCCTTTCGCAGGTTGCGCTTGGCCTCCGTGGCTTCCCGAAGCTTCTCCTTCTTGGCCACGCGCAGAAACTCCAGCTCCTGGGAGGGTGGCGCACACACCCGGGCTGGGGTCACCGCCCTGGCCCCTCTGCCCCTGCCCCCGCCGCTCCCCGCAGCCTCCCCCTCAGGCGCCAAGTGCCACCTGCCTTCCCGGATGCCCCAACCCCTCCCGGCAGAGCCCCTCGGCCCAGCGCGCTCCAGCCGCCGGGCGTCCTCCAGGCCGGGCGCCCGCTCAGGCTCCCTGCCTCCCTCCTCAGCGCCTCCGCCTCTGCCCGTCCCTCTCCAGCCACCAGCGACGGCCGCCCCCGTGCCACAGGCGCCAGTGAGCACGCGTGTGGGAAATCATGCCTCCAAACAAGACCAGGGAAGGGGCGTGCTGAGCGAGCGCCTGACACACGCTCAGGAGAGACGTCTGGGACCCGGCGCCCCGGGGACCGGCAGGCCCGTGCTGTGCTAGAGCCCACGTGTGAAGCTGCCAGACGCCACCGCCACCGCAGAGGTGTGAACTCGCGATCCCGAGTGCGCCGGGCAAGGCCGCAGAGTCGGGGCGGAGGCCCCGCCCGCCCCTACGGAGGCGGGACCCAGACACCCTAGGCCCCAAGCGCCTTCTCAGACAGGAAGCAGTCACTTGAGTGGAATCATCTAGAATCCAGCGTGCCTGGAGCCAGCCGGTCCCGCCTACACACTCGTTCCCTCTCTGACGACACGGGGCTTTAGGGAACGAGCCTCGGGCGGCAGGCCAAGCCCCCACTCCTCCCCGGCGCCCCGAGGGACAGGCCGGCTCTGCGAGGGGACGGCGGGGCGCACGGCGGCCTCACCTGGTGGAGGCTGCGCTTGGCCTGCAGGGCGGCGCTCAGCTTCTCCTCCTGCTTCACGCGCATCTTCACCACCTCGTGCAGGAACTTCTCTTTGGCTTCCTTGGTGTCCAGGCCGCCCTCCAGGGCCTGCCGCAGGTGCTCGAGCTCTGCCTCCAGCCCTCCGCTCGCGGTGTCCGCGGGGGCGGCGGCCTCGGGGGCGGCGGGCGCGGCGGGCGGGGCGTGCATGCCCGGGGAGCTCAGGTCCTTGGCGGAGCTGGATGAGGTAAGGGACGGGGAGGAGAGGGAGGACAGGGAGGAGGTGACTGCGGACACAGGGACGGGAGGGGAAGCGGACGTTAGCAGAGCGCTCGCCGCACCTCCGCGCAGTGCGGCGGCGCCCCGGGGCAGGCAGGGACCCCGACTCACACATACATTCCTCCCTGCTGTCCACTTCCACCTCGGCCTCCGAGTCTTTGCCGTCCTCTGGGGCGGCCACGGGCGCCGGCGTCTCCGGGGCTCCGGGGGTGTCCACGGCCAGCTTCCGCTTCCGTGGCTGGATGCAGGTGACCAGAGGCTCGGGGGCCCGGGATACCACGGTGGCACAGGGCGGGCTGCTCACGACCTTCTGCTGGGCCGGCGGTGCCAGGGCCACGTTGGGGGCCACACCCGTCTCAAAGCTCTTGTAGGAGTAAAAGCTGCAGGGGTGGGGGGACCTTGGGGCCACAGGCGTCTGCCCCCCATCCCCCTCCCCACGGTGGCCAGCACGTGAAGGCTCCCGGTGGGACGCGCCCCCCCCCCCCCCCCCCGGAGGGTGTGAAGGAGGAGGCGCGAACCAGAGCCCCGGGGCAGCTGGAGCACGGCCGCTGGCCGCACCCCAAGCAGAAGTTCTGGCCGTGCCCACCCGGACGCCAGTCGACAGGACGCCCGCTTCTGGGACTCCTGACGGAACGGGGCTAGTTCCACCGCCACGCGGCCCCACGCGGACACAGGTTAGAGCGAAGCCGCAGGCGGGGACAAAGAGCGCCAGGCCCACAGCCTCGGGACCCTTCACCGGCCGTGTTGAGCGCGCACCACCGTGCACTCAGGCGTTTAAGGGGCGCCCGGGAGGGGCGGGTGCCGGTCCTGAGACGCGCCGGGTGACGGCCTTGCTTGAATCACGCGCGCTCTGTCTGAGGACAACTCCGGGCGGCCACGTCAAGGAAAGGTCTCATCCACTGATAATTACTGACCGCCAGCAGCCGGCACGGCAGGTACTCACCTGTCTCGAATCAGGGCTGGAAGGTGCGGGGAGAGCTCTTTGTCACTCGCAGAAACCGCAGGGGACCAGGGTCGGAAAGCGGAAAGGCGCTGGCGAGGGTGAACGCAGCCAAGGCTCTGCTGGAAGAGGCGCCAGGGGTCAGAGGCAGGAGCGCAGAGCCCCGTGCCCGTGCCCTCACCTGCCGCCCGCGTCCCCATACCCACCGCCCCACGTCCTGTACCCGCCGCCCCGCGCCCGACCTTGCCGGAGGAGCTGGCCAGGGTCCGCAGCCAGCCAGACTGTCTGTCCTTCTCAGAAGACGTGGGGACTTGGGAGGGGGCGTCATCTGTTTTTCGGACGGAGGCCGGCGGCTCGGAGGAGACCTGTGAACGACGCAAAAGTTGTCACCGGAGCCCCTGAGGGCGTCGACGCGCTGAGCACCAGGCGTGTGCGGTGACGGGCGGCCCGGACTCCAGCAGGACAAGCCGTTTCCGCGAGAACGGGCGCTGTGGCGCTACCTGTGGGGCTACCGTGCCGTGACCTCCCCCGACGGCCACGGGAGGCCCAGGGCAGGGGGCCCAGGCCGGGCTCAGGGTGGGGACTCGAGGGGACAGCCCCCGGCCACAGCCCCAACAGCCCACGGGAGCCACAGACGCTGACCTCCTCCCGGTGGCCTTACTAGGTGGCGGGCAGGCTCACGGGCCAAGCGTGGGGCCAAGTGTGGGGACTCCGTCCCTGGGTCCCCAGCGTCGTGGGTGACGAGTCGAATTTCGACCACTTGCCATCGGCTGGGGGGTGGAGGGGGCAGCCGCCCTCTGGCAAGCTCCCCCAACCCC